GATGCCCAAATGATAGTAAACACAATGAATGACCGTCGAGCTCACTATCCAAATTACTCATTTGAGTTTAATTGTCAAGATGATGTTTTGGACTGTATGTTTTGGGCTGATGAAATGGAGAAGGCATATTATGCTGAATTTGGTGATGTTATCTCGTTTGATGCGACTTTCCGAACAAACAAGTAAGTTATTTTATCTACTTTTGTTTATAGCTTATTCATATATGAATATTTTTATATTCACTTATTAATACATCAAAAATTGACTTTAATGAACATTTTTTTTGTGTGTTAGGTATCGAATGGTTTTTGTTCCGTTTACTGCTATTGACCATCATAAAAAATCGGTTACTGTTGGATCTGGGTTGCTAAGCAATGAAAGCATTGAGTCTTACTCTTGGTTGCTTAAAGCATTTCTTAAAACTCATGGGAAAGAACCAACACTTGTTTTAACCGATCAAGTTGCTGCAAAAAAACAAGCTGTTGAGAATGTGTTTCGTAATTCAAAGCACCGATTATGTATGTGGCATATAATGAAAAAGTTGAAAAAAAAAGGTATTATTTTAATATATTTCAAATATATTACTTTTTAGTATATTCATTTATGAATATTGATTGTTATTTTACTTATTATTATTTATTCATTTATGAATATTTTTGTTTTAATACAGATATCAGATGATTTATTTACGAACACAGACTTTAGAAAAAGGTTTTCGAAGCTTGTTTGGGACATTAATATGAAACCTGATGTTTTTGAGGTGAAGTGGGGTTTGCTTATGAAGGAATTCAATCTTGAAGACACAAGATGGTTTAAAGACATGTTTACAATACGTGATTCATGGATACCTGGATATTTTAGTGATATTCCAATGTGTGGTTTGATGAAGACTACATCGAGGTCAGAGAGTATGAATTCATTCTTTAATACATACTCAGAAAGTGGGAACTTACTTTTGAATTTCATGATGAATTACGACACTGCCATTCAAAAGCAAAGGAATACTCAACGAGAGCTTGATAAGGCATCAAAGAAAGCATCATATAAAATGCAAACACCTCGAGAAATAGAACTGCAAGCATCAAAGGTTTATACAAGTACATTATTTTTTGAGGTGCAAAAAGAAATATATAAAGCATGTTTTTTCTGTACATACTCATATGTTGGTATTGAAGATGGTTGGGAAGTTTACATTGTGCAGCACAACAACAGTAAAAGTGATTTTAAAAATGAATTTAAGGTAATTTTACTAGTTTTTTTATGAAAAATGTAATAATATTCATATATGAATATGAGAATATTCATATATGAATATCAATATTCATATATGAATATATGAATATTATATGAATATATGAATATATGAGTGTTGATATGAGTATTCTTATATGAATGTAAATGTGTAAATTTTGTTTTTGTATCAGGTTGAAATAAAAGCTGAAGAGAAAGAAATAAATTGCAGTTGTGAACATTTTAAGCGTATGGGTGTTTTATGCAGACATGCTTTTACAATAATGATGAGATGTGGTGTTAAAGAAATTCCTTGAAAGGTACATTTTGAAGAGATGGAGAAAGGATGTGATATCAAGAAATTATCGTTTTAGTTCTGTTCAATCCGATTCAGGTGATTGTGAGAATGTAAAGCTAGTCAATGATTCATATTATAGTTTTGAATCATGTTTGGATATTGTAAGAGATGACAAAAAGAGATTGGCTTTGTTTGCTGAGAAACAACAAATGTTGTTGAAGGAATTTGAGAGTGATTATATTTCTCTTGGATTGAAAAGCAAGACAGATGGTGAAGTCGTATGCAAGCTTTTGGGTGTTACTATTCCTATTCCAGAAGAGATTAATATTCATGTTCCTGAAGTTCAAAGCAATAAAGGTTCTGGAATCAAGAAAAGAATTCCAAGTGCAGGTGAAGTAGCATATGAAAATTCTAAAAAAGAACATAGAATGTGTTCAGGATGTGGAAAACGAGTTCCACACAATTTACGTACTTGTCCAGAAAGAGTTGGAGCTGCTAAATCAGCAAAAGACAGTTAGGGATTTTTTAGTTTTTTTTTTATGTTTTTTGGTTTTATTCATTTATGAATATATGCAGATAAAAACAATAATCAATAATATTCATGTATGAACAATACACATTTATATTGATATGGTAAATTGATATGTTGATATTTGTTTTTTAAATTACTATAAAATAAGTTATATTGATATTGTAAATTATTCATAAATGAATACAAATATGTGAAATTTGTTATACTAATAAATAAGTAATATTCATATCTGAACTTTTTTATGTTAATATCTGAACTTTGTTATACTAACATATTACTTTGAACTTATTCATAAATGAATATATCATATTCGTATTCATTTATGAATAAATAAAAATAAAGTTTGAAAATATTTGAATATAAAAAATGACATAAATAAGCAAACTTGTTTCTACTAATAAGTTAGTTATATTCATATCTGAAATTTGTTATATTCATATATGAACTTTGTTATACTGACATATTACTCCTAATTTAATCATAAATGAATATATCATATTCGTATTCATTTATGAATAAACATAAATAAACTTTGAAAATATTTAAATATAAAAAACTGACAGAAATAAGCGAAGTTGTTTCTATTACATAATCATTCAACACAAGATAATAAAAGTTGTTCATAAGCATTTCACAAAATATTGAAACGAACATTTAACAAACCATTTAAAACTTGTTTCGCAGAATCATCTTACATGTACTTCAAATCCATTCATCTTCAACACAAAATGTTCTATAGCATCACACTTCAACATTCTTTCATCTTCACAAGCAATCATCAATATTCTTTTAACCTTTTTTGAATTGTTTGCATAGCCTTGTATGCATGATCAGTACGCACTTTGAATTCAACTTTTTGATATTTTTCAGCAAGATCCAACACCTTAGCCTTCAACATGTTAATTTCAGAAGTTAGCATTATGTGTGCATATCTTTGCCTGAGCTTCTCTAAAGTAGTTTGTTGAACTGCACTTTCTTTATGAAGACCTAGTTTCCACTTTGAGAGTGGTTGTCCCATATAGGTCTCCATATGTCTCATTGCAAAGACCCCACAATCAACTTTGTTTTTAACTGTTCTCCATGACATTTCAAGTCGTTGGGGTTTGATACTTTCTTTTGAGATTGCATTTGCTCTTGGATGGTTTAATTCTTTAAAGTATCTCACAAACAAATTTTTCTGATCATTAAATAAAATAAAAGTTAGATATGTAATAAATTGGGTACATACAAAAGGTTTCAATATTACTCCGTATTTCCCTTCATAATCCCCCTCAACTGCACTATTGTCTAGAATTTCAATTGATGGTTTCTTTAAGTTGAAGACAATCACAAAAATGTGAGCACTTCTAACAACTGGAAAGAATACCTGTTTTTATGTATATAATGGTAAGTATTTTGTTGATAAAATATATATAAAAAAACAACTTTAATTAACATACCATGTCAATATCTTTTATGTTCAAGATTTTTTTGTACCCATTGGTACTGTCATGAAAGTTCTCCTTGAATTTTTCATACTTTCTTTCATCAGACAATGTTGAAGTTAGATAAGCAGTCTGTAACCAATATAATCATATGTGAATTTCAGTTGAATATATATAATTATGTTAAAGAATACATCATATTTGTGTAATCATATGTGAATTTCAGTTGTAAAAAAATATAATATTCATAAATGAATACATCATATTGGTGTATTCATTTATCAATAAGGAAGGAATTAAGGTTAGAACATAAACTTACAGAAACTCCAACTTTCAAGAAGAGTCTGTATGGTGAATTTCCAAAATCCCTTTCCAGTTCTTGGTGGTTAAGTAAATCAGACCAAGTGTCTAAAACTTCTCCAAAAATCTCTGTGTTTGCATATAGACTTTCCATAACTGCTCTTTCTGTTATCTGACCATATTTTGTCTGGACAACCACATCTCTGCAAATATATAATCAAAATGTCATAGATTATTATCTATATAATAATCATATATGAATGTATATAAAATAAAGTTACTTACGATGTATTGCCTTGTAAGTTGAACAACCATTCACAGACAATACTCTCTGATGTGTCAGTTTGGGTTTTGTGTCTGTTATTCTGCATTTGAAAGGTGATTTGAAAGCATCAGCAAGCTTCTTCTCTCTTGGTTGATCCAGATCATGCTTTGATGGTCCTACTTCAGTAGGAATTGATACAGAGATTGGATTTGGATTAAGAACATTTTTCTTTGCTAATCTGATAACAACCTTCTGATGGTCGTCTTTGATTTGTTTCTTTGTAAGTGGTTTTTTTGGTGAAGATTCATTAGATTTTTTACTTGAAGTTTGATCTGAATCTTGACTGAGACCTAGACTAAAGCTTGGATGAGTATCTGCATGCCAGGAGATTTATCATATAAATAGTTGTAAGTTAATTATAATATTTGAGTTTATATTTTGAAATGTTTATCCAAATTGTTACCTCCTTTATTTCCTTTTGTCTTGTCAGCTTTTTCTCCTTTCTTGTTTTCATTTTCTGACTTTTTCTTTCCTGAAAGATAAAGAACTTTGATTAAGTAATTCATATGTGAATAAGTAATGTATTCATTTATGAATAAGTAATGCATATCATTATTTATGAATAAGAAATATTAAATTTTTTTTATATTGCGTTATTTATTTGTGAATAATAAAACTTATTATATTCATTTATTAGTGATTCAACTATTTACCTTTATCTTCTGCATTTCCTTTCTCAGTTTCTGTATGTTTATCTTCACCTCCATCTTTCGTGTTCTTAGCTTCTGTTCCTCCTTCATTTCTATCTTCAGAGTTTTCCTTGCCTGAAACATATACATCATATATACATATTTTTTATTTTTTATTCATTTATATAGTGTATTATTCACTTATGAATAAACAATGTTATTAAAAATATCAATATAAATATTGTAATATATTTTAAATCATTCATTTACCTGTATCATCTCCCTTTGTTTTTTCAACTTTTGTTCCTTGTTCATGTACACCTTCTGATTTTTCCTTTTCTGCAAGGGTATTAGTTTTACCTGTACTCATTGGTGACCCTGGTCAAAATTTAACAAACAAAATTGTTATTGTGTATTAATATTTTTATATTTTTTTTTAAAATAAAAGTAAGACAAAATTTACCTATATCAATATTATCGAAAATAGTTTTCATTTCAGGGTGATTCCAGATTTCATCTTCTTGACTATTTAAACTTGAAATTCCAATTCCAAGGACATTGTCCACAATGTTGTCAACAACTTTATCCAACAAATTTTCATTTTCAGTTTGTTGAATAGTCTCTTCATGATTATTTGTTTCCTCAGCATGATCATCTTTTTCCTCTTCATCATTCTCATTTTCATTCCTCTTTCCATCTTTCTCTTTTACTCCAATTTCACCTTCTTTTTTATTCTTATCTGCATCATTCTTTATTCCTTCATTCTCTGCTTCATTTGAATCAAGCAAATAATCTACTTTTGGTTGACTTGCATCATTATCACTGACTTCTTCACCATTTCCCTCTTTATCTTCATTTTCTTTTTGATCATTTGTTTTTTGACCCATTATTGGTGTCAAATTGATTCCTTCAACTCCAGTTTCATTACTTGGAAAATTAAAAAGTGTTGTGCTTTCAGTTTTTTCTTCAACAATCATATTTGTCATCTTTTCTTTGAAAATTCTAAAACTTTCCTTTTCAGGGAACTTTGTCATCGCATCATTAAGCTTTGAATTCAGCTTTTCTTTCATCCTCTCAAAACTATTAAGCATTTTTTGATATTTTTGATTCATATGCCTATGTAACAAAAAGAAGTATATGATTAGAATTTAATATAATAATTTAATGTAATCATATATTATTAACATGTTCAAACTAATTACCTCAACAAAATGATCTTCATCTTTATCAGAATCACTGTCTTCGAGATCTGTATCTCCTTCATCTTGTTCATTAACAAATTCTTCGTTTAATTCTCCATGTCCAAATCTACCTTTTTCTTGTTCAAATGTCTCTCGATATCTAATCTTCTCTGAACTCCAATAACAAATTGTTTTGACGTTTACGTGTTACTGTTAAAGCTTCTGAGTGGATGTTATCAGCATAGAACAACTGCACATAAATGATAACTAATTGATATTCATATATGAACAAGTAATATTATTTTTATTCATATATGAATAAGTAATGTAAAGCATTACGTGTGAACAAATATATTTTTCTTATTCATATATGAATATTTTCTATTAGTTTATGAATAATCAATATTATTAAAAATTGAGTATAAACATTATAATAACTTACCACCAAGAAAGCTGAAGGTCCAACAAAGAAGCTGGTATCTGAGTATGGTATGTATGAGTTTTTTGTTCTGACAAGACAGTCCAAAACATAGCTGCACCAGTCTATGTTGCTGATATCTGTTTTTCTTGAAATATAACTCAAGGGAAACAGGTTGCATCTTCCCATTGATGTTGACTCGCAAAACGTGTTGACAAAAAGAACTAAGAAGTTCAATTTGAAATTGAAATCAGCTTGTGTGGTGGAAACAATAACATTTTTTATTGCACTCACTCGGATGATTGAATCTTTTTTAAATTGTTGCTTCCATTCATCATAACTTGTATCATCCTTAGGCCATTGATCCAGTTGTGTAAGTTTGGTTCCACCATTTGGTATGCCCAACATGTCATGAACAGACTCTGCTGTTACTTTCAGTTCCTTTCCTTCAATATCTATCACCATTCTCTCAGAATCAAATTTTTGAAGAACATAAAATCCCAGCTTCAGTGGTATATCTGTGATTTTCATTTTTAACAAAGCTCCAAAACCCATAGATCTTACAGATTCTTTTTGTTCTTTGCTCATCCCAAGGATTATAGATAGTAATGCCTCTGGTGAACATCTATTTTTCATTGAGTAAAATTCTTTTACCATTGGTTTTTTTGTCTTTTTTGATTGGTGACTCCTTTTTTTTGCCTTCTTTGATGGATGACTACTTTCAAAATCAGAGTCTGAATCTTGTAGTTGTTGTTTTTCAGGAGTTTTCCTTTTTGATGGACTTTTTCTGCTTTGATGTTTTATTTTCTTTGGTACTTTTGTTTCTTTTTTATCTGGGAAATGAAAACATATAATATTTGAATAAGTTACTGATATATGAATATGATATATGCTCGTTGATTTATTAATATTTATTTATTACAAAAATATATCTAATATATACAATTTTATTCATATATGAATATATTAAATATGATAGGAATTTTGTACCTTTCGCATTTTTCCTCTTCTGTATTGATCTTGTTTCTCTCATTGTTGGTGAATCTTTATCAGAAATGTTAGTGTTCTTACCTTCATTCAATAGTAAGTAGAAGATAAATGAGTTTGATATTCACGAATGAATATTTGAATAAAACATATGTATTCATATTTTTTTATTCACATATGAATATTTTTTGTTATATTCATATGTGAATAGAACATATATAAGTCATTATTGTTGTATTCACATTTGAATAATGTATGTATGGCAGCAAGTTATGTTCTATTCATATGTGAATATAACATATATATTCACGAATGAATATTTGAATAAAACATATGTATTCATATTTTTTTATTCACATATGAATATGTTTTGTTATATTCAGATGTGAATAGAACATATGTAAGTCATTCTTGTTGTATTCACATATGAATAATTTATGTATGGCAGCAAGCTATGTTCTATTCATATGTGAATATAACATACATATTCACGAATGAATATTTGAATAAAACATATGTATTCATATTTTTTTATTCATATATGAATATGTTTTGTTGTATTCACATATGAATAGAACATATGTAAGTGATTCTTGTTGTATTCACATATGAATAATTTATGTATGGCAGCAAGCTATGTTCTATTCATATGTGAATATAACATACATATTCACGAATGAATATTTGAATAAAACATATGTATTCATATTTTTTTATTCATATATGAATATGTTTTGTTGTATTCACATATGAATAGAACATATGTAAGTGATTCTTGTTGTATTCACATATGAATAATTTATGTATGACAGCAAGCTATGTTCTATTTATATATGTGAATATAACATATATATTCACGAATGAATATTTGAATAAAACATATGTATTCATATTTTTTTATTCGTATATGAATATGTTTTGGTATATTCACATATGAATAGAACATATGTAAGTGATTCTTGTTGTATTCACATATGAATAATGTATGTATGGCAGCAAGATATGTTCTATTCATATGTGAATATTACATACATATTCACGACTGAATATTTGAATAAAACATATGTATTCATATTTTTTTATTCACATATGAATATGTTTTGTTATATTCACATATGAATAGAACATATGTAAGTCATTCTTGTTGTATTCACATATGAATAATGTATGTATGGCAGCAATATATGTTCTATTCATATGTGAATATAACATACATATTCACGACTGAATATTTGAATAAAACATATGTATTCATATTTTTTTATTCACATATGAATATGTTTTGTTATATTCACATATGAATAGAACATATGTAAGTCATTCTTGTTGTATTCACATATGAATAATGTATGTATGGCAACAAGCTATGTTCTATTCATATGTGAATATGACATACATATTCACGACTGAATATTTGAATAAAACATATGTATTCATATTTTTTTATTCACATATGAATATGTTTTGTTATATTCAGATGTGAATAGAACATATGTAAGTCATTCTTGTTGTATTCACATATGAATAATTTATGTATGGCAGCAAGCTATGTTCTATTCATATGTGAATATAACATACATATTCACGACTGAATATTAGTTTTGCTTGTGTTCAGAAGTAAACAAAACATATTTTATTTACCTTTTTGATTTGTTCTTGGGTTTCGTTTATATGTATTCTTCACTGTTGGTGTTGTTTCTGTAAGGGTAAGTAGTTAATATTAGGAAAACATAAGCGAAATGTTAAGTAACGTTTGTATTTTGACAGAATAGTTTTGAATAAAGATGAAAAATGAAGAGATGATGTAAAATCATTTATATATCAAATAATAATGGATGATTCTTACAAAAATTTCAAGTAAATAAAGTAATATCAAAGGAGGGTTACGAGAATGAACGAGTATCATAAAAAATTTAAGTAAACAACCTTTTTTGAAGAATGAACAGTGTGAAATAAATGTTTTTAGTTCTAAATCAACTAATAATTATCGAAGATTACGAGAAATTTCAAGCAATCAAGTGATAATTTTAGAAATGATTCGAAATCGTTAAAAACTCGAAAAAAACGCCGATGGTTACCTTTCATTGTCAAGAGTGAGGAAATGGTCTCGTTCATGTTTTCATCGGAAGACATTTTTCTTCGTTTATGTTATTTGATGCTTCTGCAAATGGTTTTCTTCTTATCGATTCTTCTGCAAATGGTTTTAGTGTTATGGTGTATCGAAGAGGGAAATGGTGCTTTTCTGTCGAGATTTGACGTGTTATCAAATTACTCAAGTGCCCTGACGGTTTAATGTTTTTGTATTATTTACAAATTTGCCACCGCTCATTAATGTATTTGGATTATTTACAAGTTTGCCACCGTGCGTTTTTTAAGCTCATTAAATGATTGGCTGAGAATGGTTCCCCCATTCTCAACCTTTTTTTTTCTCAATTGAACCCTCCTCTCTCTCTCTCTCTCTCTCTCTCTCTCTCTCTCTATATATATATATATATATATATATATATATATATATATATATATACACTAGCCGTTTACCCGCGCCAAGCGACGGGTGCGGATAGTTTTTTCATAAATTAGTTTCTAGAGGCAATTAGTTCATTTGCGAATAATTTCTTTCAGATATTTAAAATTAGGATAATTTCAGTGGTTAGTTTCGAAAAAAGAACAACTTTTAAAGAAAAACAAATGAGGTTTGGGAGCAGATTTCTTCGGGGAGTTTTGGCCGGATGATATTCAATACTAAACATAATTAAGTTCTTGATAGGTTATTAGCTTTATAGTTTTTCGTAAGTCATGTAAATACAATTAATACATACACTTTTTTCTTAGACATGTTTACATTACATTGACAATCCATATGCTTTCAAAATTAATATTATACTTGATATTTAGAATAAAATGACGGGATAGTAAATTTTGTTTATTTGGGATATTACACTTAACATTTTTTTATATTTCATCATGTGTGTTGAAATATGTTTTTAATGTATAAATAGGTTGTAGGCAAGAAGCTGACATTACATGCCCGTTCTACCATTTGGTTCTCTCTTAGTAAAACATTTAATCTAAAATAACACCAATATGCTGATTAGAAAACTCGAACATCTCTGTTTCTTCACTTGAAATCTTTTAATCTCCAGCCCTTAATGACAATATTGATCGTAAGCAACACCGATTATGTTGTCATTCAAGTTATAAATTTTTTGGTCTTCATTCTTTATAAATATAAATAATGTATTTTTATAAAAAAATGCTCAAACAAATAAAGTTGTCTAAAAAAGCCAATTTCATCAATATTTTAAATTACAAAAACTATGTAATTAAATTGAAATGGAGAATGAGAAATTAATTGTGTAAAACAACATGGAAGTTTAATTTCACCAAAATTAGTAATTTATTAACCGATTTGTGTTTCTTATTTGCTAATCCTTATAACATTTAACAAAAAAATTGATATATAACTAAGTATAGACGAAGGCAACTTATTGTTTTAAACATATAATTAAATAAAAGGTAGTTCAACAGTTTTGATTTGGTTTTGGTTTTTTGGTTTCAGTTTCATTGGTTTTTGTTGATTTTTTGTTTTCAAATTCGGTGTCGCTCGCCCCTAAAGAATATATCTCGAGTGACTTTAGCTTCCTTCTTAACTAATGTAGAAACAAAAAGGATATACAT